CTTCGTGGTATTTTTTAATTAATTTTGTTTGTTCGGATTTATTTTCTACGAGAGTTACACGAGATGTGCACTTGATAAGCATGTCGTTAAATATAGTGGTGTAGACTTTAGAGAAATCATAATATAGTTTATCGTCGTAGAAATAACAATGAAAGACTCTATTTGGAATAGTGTGCTCTTTAAGAAATTTTTGATTGAAATTGAAACGATTTCAGGTTGTGCGTTATTTATAGGAATAAAACTTTACATTAAATTCGGGTAAGTCTATATAGGGTAAATGATCTTTATCATGGTAATTCAACTTGACTATCTTTAGTCTTCTTTGGGCAAATCCAAAAGAAAATCCTGTAATATGAATTGTTACTATCGTCTGTAGTATAGGAAAGTTCTTCTACAACAAATTGTGGTTTTTGGGGCCTATTCACTGACCTCATTGTAGCGTCACTGTGTACCTGTGGCGAGTTCACTTGTTGTGGGATATTTTGCTGTTGAAAATGCGCTGTAGGCCTAAAATTATTGTTATTACCGTATTTCCAAGGCAGCATGCTCTGTGCCCACTGCTGTCGCTGTTGGGGTGACCAATTAAATGTTTTGGTACGTATATACCAAGGTTGAAGGGCCTCGCCTGATGCATCTGCTGCGCTTAGTGGATAAAGGGTGACCTAAATGGAGGTTGAGTTTAAATTATTAAAATTCTTAAAATTAGGTTTAGGTGCTTCGAGTTTGGGTTTAAATTGTGACGTAGATGGAAGACTGTTCACCATGCTGCGATTGCATGAGTGTCTAGCCTCCTCCTGCCTAGCAGCAACGATGGCTTCTTCGAGGGTTGTCGGCTTTGAAATACGTACGCCCATCGAGATGTGAAAATCTAATTGGTTTACATACTGACTGTTCAATAACTATATTTTCGTAGTATGATTTGTCCGCGTGCTTGCGTACTGAATACAGGGTGTCTAACAACTCGCGTAACCGTTGCCGTAAATATCAGCATCTTCGTATTTATTTCTACGTGTCTGTGTTAACTCTTGCATAACCTGTATCTCCTAGGTTCACTCCTAGGTTCTCTTAATCGTCTTATAAGAGCGTTTTTTATCTGCAGCCACGAGTCTAAAACGTCCTCGTACGCTATCGCGTCAATAGCAGCTCCGCTCATTCTACTTTTAATTAATAGAACTAATGAACGCAGGTGGATGAGGTTGTTGAAGCAATGCTACTAAACGACCCACTTCTTTTATATAATAATTGAGTGCAGACGATTCCCATCGTACCTCGGCATTAAGTCAGAAATCATTCTATATGAGTCATCGAAGCCTGCGAATGGCATTTTTCCGAGAATTAACTTAAACAATGGGTTACAAATCGATTATGAAATTCTCTATACGGCGATATAAAGAGTATAGGGAGAATTCACACGTTTTAAATATGTAAAATTTATAAACAGACGGGAAATAGAGCAGTAACACTAGGGAAACGATAGTAGCTTACCAAAGGGTCCACTGAGTCGTCTCACCAGCACGCTCCCAGACAGGTTAGTGAAAACGCGCCTAGGTCCTTCCTGGATCGCGACTATCGATTAAAATCGTTATCTCGGTAGAACACTGATTCGAAGGATTCAAATCGAGATCTCATGATCCTACCGACTGCGCCAATTATGTTCGGGCGACCGAAAAAAGCCCTTTTAAAAATAAAATTTATTTAATGGAGAGTATACAAGTTTGTACCATTGCGACGACAAGTCTGATCTTCGAATTATAAAATAAATATTGCATTAATTCGCTAATTGCATCGGTTGCATTTTGGGCAGTGCTTAGTCGAGGCTTTTTCGGGAATATGATGACTTAACTAGATACCTACATAAAAAAATACGTTCATTACCCGTACATGCACCAACACGCTTCCTACAGGGTCACCTGGGTTTCGAGTCATTAGGATTACGTAGAAATTTGTCTCTACTCTTCTTTGTCTTAAATGTTATAAGGAATAATATGGACAGTTTGTACCTCGTGGAAATGATCCTTAAATTCAAAGTACCAAATGACTACTGCACTAGGCGGCGTGAAGTGCCCTTGTTAGGAACTGTGCCTTCACCCGCTGAACAGTACCGACCCTCGCCCCTTCCCCGTGCGACTACAATCCTCAACTTCGTACTCGCGGAATCACCGCAGTGTTAACAGTTTGTGACTGGGATTGCGAGACTGATGACTGAATGGAAGAGAGTGCTAGAGAGAAAACAGGATGGATTTTAGTGATTAGATTAGTAACGATATGTTTCGTTTTAAATTTTTATTTTTAATTCTGGTTCATTTTGTTTTTATTTTGTTGTGTGTAAATACCGTTATGTTATGTACACTTTTTTATCATTGAATAAATAAATAAATAAATAAAATAATACAAGGAAGGTTAGAATTTTCAAGAAGAGGCTGTATGGCCAACCCAAATAAATGGGTGAAAACTTAAAAAAATATAAACATTGTATTGTAAAGTGAACTTATGGTTAAACAACCATCTCAGTCAGCCGTGGCCATGGGACTTACTAAGGGCCCGAAGCGATGGTTTGTTTAAACAAATATACGTATCTACTCGATTTAGATCCGAAAAATAGTTTAATTTCCTAATTTTTCAAATTAAAAATAAATTTTGAATTAAAAAAAGAATCGCGAAATTCCTGGGCGTTCTACAGGCGCAGCAAGAACAAATGTGGAATATAATCTTTTGAGAAAAAAAAAAACTCAAGATTTGACGTTATCGGATGTATACGTAAACTGTACGTGAACTGTGGGAGACATTTGGAATATTATATATTTAAGCAGCAGTAGATCTCTTTGTGAAAGAGTTCGTCCAGGGAAGTACTGCCTTTTTTACTTTACCTATTTCTGCCGTTAAGCAGTAATGTTATTACGGCGTTCCGGTTTAGAGGGGTTAAGGTATCATATTTATTTTCGACATTCGCTTTATTTCTTTCTTTACTTGTGACGTAACAAGTAAATCGATCGTCTTATACATATTTATGTTTAAGGAATGTCAAAGCGTAGAAAAGGCGTGTTGATAAAACAAATATTTCCTACAAAAAAACATACGGCATGTTTAGCGGTACACTAGTGAGATCTTTTAGTAATAATAGAGCTCATCTCAGCTCATAATTCTCAGATAATTATAATGATAATTATCGAAGGAAATAAATATCTTGAGAATTTCGATCATTACTGTGTTCCGGTTTTGAAGGGTAAGGCTACTGGTGGAATTACAGGCACATGGGACTTGTAAACTTATGTTTCAGGGTGACGAGTGCAATGGCAGTGCTCCTCAGATCTTTGCGATTTAAAGCTCTGAGTGGCACGGTTACTGTTATGGACTGGCGTGTAGCTTACCCTCAGGCGCACGACTTGTTCGTCCCGTCACTGATATTATAAAAAAATCCAACGATGTTAAACATTTCTTTTGAAAACGCAACGAATTATCGGTAGAAAACAAGTTACTTCATCATGTGGCAACGAAACATGGTAATTTCACGGAACCTATATCAAAAATTCTTGACTTACCTTCATAGAGATCATCCAGGTATATCGGCAATGGAGATCCAGAACTCCCCATTAACTCATGGTCCGTGGTCAGAACAAGCACGGGAAAGGATACATACCTATAGACTTTGCGGGTTCTCACGATCGCTACTGGTTGGTTTTAAGTGACGCTTTATCTTAGTGAATTGAAGTCAGACCTATGCAAAAAGGTATCAACAGGAAATTTGTGCTGCATTTTGGACGATATATTTTTACGTTTGATTTTCCTCGTAACAATGTCAATAATAATAATAATATTTATTCACCAAGTCGCGTCACGCAACATTTAGCATGTCAAGGTACAATTTTTGGATCTTATAAAACACTCCAAACTTAACCTTTAAAAAAAGTCAGTCTTAATAAACCTATTGTTGGCCACAAGTAAAATTTCACTAAACAGCCAAAAGTATTTTATTACTTTCTTCTTGGTATGGATTTACAGCCTAGAACTGTGGGTCATGGTTGCCATCGTGGCTAAAGAATTTGCCAATCGGCGTAAAGTTCTCGCTGGCTGTAACCCAGATTGCGCCAGACGTCCAGGGAATATGAATACCTACTTACTTTCTGGCACACCTTTTTACTTGTCTTTTTATTACCTGTATTGGCGACCTGCATCGCTATATTCTTCGCCGTTCTTGTGGCCATTAAATTTAAAATTCTTGTTCTTTATTTGTAATTGAACAATAGAAAATCTCTTGTGATTGTGCCTATCGGGAAGAATCTGACTTCCAAAATAGGGTATCATACTACTTAATTTATTTGATACTAATACTTAATTTATTTGATAAATAAAGACTATTATTATTATTAGGTATTCTTAAACCTGTAAATTATGAAATAAAAAAATAAATTTTGACTATAACCTTCAAATAACAAAATAAGTGGTAGTGAATTTTGCAGCGACCAGGAACCGGGTTTTATTTTTTCATCCTCAACAATCTGCAACACTTTTCAACAATGAAAATATACATGCTCACTGCCTTTTAAAATTACTAAATCATTGTGATCGGCGCGTATGGATGAATTACGTGCCATATGTTGTAAAATAATCATTCTTGAGTGCAAAATTGATAATATCGTTTTACATGTGTTAAAAGAATATTTATTATTAAAAGTCTTCTATTCGTTGCAATAGTTTTTGAAATAAAATGGTTTGATATCTTTGATAATAAACAAAGGACAATAGTAAATGAACTAAAAATATGAGCACATAAAATTTTAGTTTGATTTTGTTTATTGAATTTTATATTAGATTTTTGTTTAGAATAATCAAATTATTTGAATGTTTATTATGTTGCGGTACCAGGGTTCATGTCTAGGTACTGAATTGTACACCATGTCAACCACATGATTGCAATAAATAAATGAATTATTATTATTGTTACTAAATTTTATAAGGATTTATGGGAAACAGTATAATAAGACGACAGTTTGGTATCAAATGAATTTTTATTTAGAATTTGACTATTTGTATTTGACTATTTAGTTTTCGCGTCAACCCAAATTAGAAGCAACAACGGCTGGGGGTATTCCGCCACCAGGACCTTGTTCAATAGTGGGTTGGAAACCGTTTTCATCAGCGATATAGGTGACTATGTAGGTGACGCCATCGGGACCCACCCAAGAGTAAGAGCCTTTGACAGCAATGGCTTCGTCATCGGTGCCGGCGTTCTTCAGTTGACCTTGTTGTTGGTGTTTCTGGCCGTCTGATTGCTCGTAGCTAAAAAAAAGTAAAATTAATCTGTTGTAGTTTATTATTTATAACGCACATAAAGTCCATTATTGCTATAGATGAGAAAAAATGGCTTTAACATTTCTTGCTCCATTTTTATCGATCATGGTATTTAGCGATAATATCTATCAATTGAAAATAGCAACTAATTCTTTATACACACGTTTTGGTTTTTATGACAAATATCAAGGAAATTACAAAATTTTGACGTCTACTTGAGTAATTAATGATATAATTTTTACTACTGTAAAAATTATATCATTAATGACTCAGCGTTATCAAGTAAAATTAAAATACATACGTAAGTATATAAGTACATTATTTTGCTGTATGCCAGTGGCAATTTTACGTTTTAAATATTTTCAAATAACTTATACGCGATATAGCTACACCAAGAGGTTGTTTCATTTAAGAATTTGGCCCCTTTGGGCTCAATTGTTTTTTCAGTGAAAGTGACATCCCCTTATTCATTTTTCGAAACTTGGCACCTTTTCGATATGCTAAGACAAATACTGAATGCAAAGAACTGACATCGTGGAAAGTCTGTTATCAGATTTACTAAATAAACACCTTTCCGATATTAAAGCTGGTTTCGTGAAATGCGGATTAAAGAGAAAGCTTTTAAATTACAGTCATAAATAATGGATAAGTATTAAAGTTTAAACATGTACGGACAACGGCACATCAGACTACATATTTTTGTTCGAAAATCGCCTCCAGTGCAACGGAACAAGAGACGTCAATGTGTAGCTTAATGTGCTGGCGTGTGTATATTTGGCTTTTATAGTCCGTCCACTTTTCAAAAGATCTTAAATCAAATTTTTCAAAATAAACCCTAACGTATAATACCTTAAATATCTAAAAAGTAATTATTCTTTTTTTATCATAAATAATAAATACTTTCGAGTTACGACTTATGAGAAATCAATATCTAGACTGGGTAATTTCCAGGTTAGTTTTCTCAACTTCATTTCGGTGGTAAATTTTGTTATTTAAGTACCTATTCGAGTAAATATCGTGAAATATTAAATAATATTTCAGGTTACTGTACTCGAATATTAAACGATACTTCATGAAAATATTCTACAATATTTAATTGATAGAAATTGCCACCGAAATTAGTTAGGTAAACTAACCTGGAATTTATCGAGTCCTCTTAAAGCTGATCAAAACGAGTTCATACACTATATTTTGACGTATAGGCCAACAACAGTAGGGTTAAACTGTAAACTTAAAGGTTTTTGTAAATTTAAAGTAAAAAAACTTAAAGGGTAAACTCATAAAAAGTAAAGGCGTATGTGATGCAAGGTGTTGCGTAAACGATTTGTGTGCGTTCGAATACTTAACCAAAATTTTAATACATTAAATTTTTCTAAACTCATATTAAAATAAAATTCCCAGACAAAAATCAAGTTATTGACTACATAGATGATCTTAAAATTAGTGAATCATTTATTTATGAACCCGAATACTGCAAAACACATACCCCCTAACCTAAATAAACAAATAAAAATATTGCAACAAAATATTAGAAGTAGAAACAAAAATTTCCCCATTCTCTTATCAAGACTAAACTTTGAATGTGACATCATTGGTCTAAGCGAGTGCTGGCTTCAATCCACTCCTAATCTTCCTATTTTACATGTCTACACAAACTATTTGGCTTTTTATTTAAACTTTTTATTTTTGCATTACTCACGACAACTACAATCAAAACGACGGCGTTGTTGTTCTTATAAGAAACAATTTCACAACTCTAGTAGAGGAACCATCGCTCTCTGAAGCAAATTGCCTATTAATTAAAATTGGAACAGATACAATAATAATCGCTATGAGACCTTGCTGCTTTAAGAACCTAGACACTTTCGTAGAATCCTTACATACACTATTAGCTCAACTCTCCTCTTTTAAAAACATCATATTAGTAAGAGACATAAATATTAACCTCAGGGAAGCAAATGAAAATATAAATAAATATCTTAATGTTTTAACCTTTCATGGAATGCTACCAGTCTATACTCACGCCACGCGCTTGAACAACTGTCTTGATCATGTTATCATAAAAACTAATTTAGCTACGTCCGCCTGTATACTTCAAACGGCAATCACTGATCACGAAGCTGTTTTATGCTGTATAAAATACAAAAATATTAACAAATGTGGCCGGTCTACCACCATGAAAAAGATTAACTTAGATAACCTCTTCGAAGAAGTATTAAAACTCGACTTCAGTTCTATATACAATACCGATAACTTAGATGATGCTGTAAACCTATTTATTCAGTATACACAAAATATTATATAAAAAAATACTACACATTTTAAACTACCGCGAAATAAAATAGCAATGAAACCCTGGATAACCATAGGGCTTTTAAAATGTATAAGAACTAGGGATAGAATGCACTTCAAGGTCAGAAAGGAACCGGGTAATAAAATATTAGAAGTTACATATAAAAGATATAGGAACTTTTGCAACAATATCACAAAAAATTGTAAACAACAATACGAAAAAACTGAACTTATTTCATCTAAAAATAATAACAAAAAACTTTGGAAAGCTATAAAAAACATAACTAATCTCAATAAACAACAAGATCATCTAAAAGAATTATTGAATATTAGAATCACAGAAATTCAATCAGCTAAGGAAGTAAATAAATTCTTCTCTACAGTTGGTTCTGAATTGGGTACTAAGATCAACTTTCAACATTCGCTTCCCTCACAAAATTGCTCTCCACACGTGGCTCCCTCTGACTCATTTGTCCTTTTAAGAAAGTGTTTGAGTGCGCACAGGAAGGTTTCAACACTGTTACAAACTGACTTGCTGCTAATTCTCTAACTCTTAACACCGAAAAAGGTAAATACCTAACCTTTCTTCCCAGTGGTCAATTGACCTTAACTAGGGATCTTCATATTGTGGCACATTCTTGTTCCGATCTGATTTCCGGTGACTGCACTTGTCCATTCATTGAAAAAGTCGCAACTGTTATGTATCTGGGTATTACTAGTGTTGATGACCGCCTTTCCTTCAGAGATCATATTACAAACCTCACACAAAGAGTCCGAAAACTCACTTACATAAATCTTCGACATGCTATGGATTTTAAATTATTCAAATTGGTTTATTTGGCACTTTGTCAATCTATTATATCGTATGGTATATCGAGTTGGGGAGGAGCTGCAAAAACCCATATGTTGCAATTGGAGAGGGCACAAAGACTAATTTTAAAAACGAGTCTCTTTAAGCCACGCTTATACTCCACGATTAGCCTTTTCCACGACGCCAAGGTCTTACAGTTCGACAATTATATATTCTGTCCACTTTATTAAGACAACATGAGCAAATTAAATACAATCCTGACCATTCCAACGCTCAAAAGAGAATGAATTACTTTGTTTGCCACACAAAACCACTCAGGACGTCCTTTGCACACAGGTTTTTTTTATAATTACTTAAATAAATCACATAACATCTACAATATGGTAAGATGAAAATGTAGAAATACCATGTCTGCTTGGCTGCTTACTAAGACGTATGATGAAACAGAAAAACTTTTGACTATAGCATCATAAAGGTCTATTGATATGCGCGCACATAGACACACATATACAGAATATCACGCTCATTCGCTCATTCACACACACACACACACACACACACGCACACGCACACACACACACACACACACACACACAACACATACACACAAAAATTATACCCACACACTCACTCTTTCCCAAGCTCACACACACACACACACACACACACGCACAAATGAAAACACTAACTTTTTGAATTACTCCCTATTGTACAAACACACATACTATGTGAAAAATAGACCTAAGTAAAGAATACTCTAACCGAGAGGTGGAGACCAGGGAGTCCTAAGATACAGGGTTTTCCTAGTTTAGGCTCCTGTTTCTCACGTACATTAACTTGTTAATTCTTGCTGTAAATTAGTTTGTAATCAATATTTGTGGGAGAAAATAAACATCTAAAACATCTATCTATTGGATTGTCACCGGATCTAGATGTAGCAAAATTTGAAAGGGGATCTAGTGTTTGAAACCGATTCAAATGGTTTGACCTGATCGTACAAACAAAGGAAGTTAAATAAAAACTAGTTGAATTGGTAAAATTATAGTCCCCTACTTGTCAATTTATGATTCAGGGTGACGGGCGCAATGGCAGGGCCCCTCAGATCTTTGCAATTTTAAGTTCTGAGTGGCACGTAACTGCTTTGGATAGGCGTGTCGCTGACCGTTAGCTTGTACCGCACAAGTTGTTGGTCCCGTTATAAAAGAGTTAAAACTTACTTGAACTCCCAATTTCCCACACCGTCATTATCGGTTTCGTAACGAAGGATCTGAACGTCTTCTGGTTTCAATTGGGGAGCAGCCGCTGTTAGCGCCACCAACGCGAGTACCACCAACTATACCAAAAGTAAATTATTTTAATATGGAACACCGATTAAAATAATATTTTTAAAATACTTTTATTCACTAGCCATCCTTGCCTTTGAGCTAGTCAAAGGTTGTTGTTATTATAACTAGGCAGTATGGTCTCTGATTTTCGTCTGTTCCATACGGAATAAAGGAAAAAAAAGTAAATAATGTTAGTATAAATAAATAAATAATAATAACGCACACACCCAACATAGGGAAACCCTGTGTCGTGGGTGCCATGGACACACACATAGACAACCACAAATTACACCCAAACTCACGAGAGAAATAAATGCAGGTCATACAGATATCTCTTGCGGCCCGGGAATCGAACCTGGGACTTCTGCGTGCCAATCCGGCATGGTAACAGTTCGGCCACGGAGGCAGTTAAATCACTCAAATTGATATCTCGTTTTGTTTTGTTTTTGTACTTCATAATAAAACACTCAAGCACTTGTGTTACAGTTGTAATAGAATAACATAAGCCATTTATTATGATTTGCCGGTCGTTCGTTAAAAACTTGTTCGCCTTTACATATTACACTGAACACAAAAACTCCAAAATATACGTTCACAAACACCTCGTGCATGCACAGGACACTTTCATGGTTTTTTATTGAAAATAGGAAGTTTGATAACGAATATAGGTGTTATTTTTACTTTTTTTTAAATATTTTAATTTCACTTTTATTCACTTGATTTTTATTAAACTTAATTTACCCACCAGTTTCATGATAAGATTCACTAAGAATGGTTACCCAAATCGTCCTAACTAGCGTTGTGCTTGCATGACTCACTTTAACCCGTATTTTATACCTTTTGGTTATATTGTGTTACAACATACTTATTTGTTGGTGTATAAAAATATCTCGTTACAATGCTTTGTGTGTTTGACCGCCCCTAGGGGAGAAACATAAGCTACGCTGAGAATTTGTATCTGATTTGCACAACAATACAACTGCGCTGTGTCCGAAGTAATGGAGCTCAAACTTTTACTTTCGAAACGTATAAAGTATGAATATTAAAAACTAAATAATCTAAAATTAAGAAATAAGTAGAAATTTATTTAGGTCTATATAATATGTAAATGTAGGTATATAATATTATGGTCATTTATTATTTCTTAATATGATAATATTACTTTTTAATAATGCATTTAAATTTTTACAACTGGCACACTACGTCTCCCTCTCTGTTCAGTTCCCCTCTGCCGCAAAGGTTGTCTGGAAGAGATCGCTTTGAGCGATAAAGCCGCCTTTGCCCACATTAATAATAAGTTGTCTATGTACTGTATTTTTTTTGTGTGTGAGCAAAAAAGTGTGTTATCTATCTATCTAATCAAGTAGTGTTTAATAGTCGGACCTTTTTTCTGGTCCTGTTACGTAATTTTATAACCATTATCATCGATTTTAAAAGATGACAGACTATATCTAATGAACATAGTAATTTAAATTAAAATTAAAAAATATTAAAATATCGGAATTCAATGCTAACAAATACAAACAGTAGTATATGACTGACTCTTTTCTAAGCCATCTTATGGCGAAGGCAATCTGCGCATCGTCGGAGGACATCAACGCGGTGCTTTTGCAACTAACTTTTAATTATATATATATGCGTTTAGGATTTGATAACTACGGCCGCGTGTGATTGACGCCAATTAACTAACGCCTTTTTGCCTTGTGTTTTGATCTTTTAAAATTAATTTCTAACTTATAGTTGATTGTTTCATAATTATATTGATTAAGGGAAGAAAGGGTGTCGTGCAACGACACTGCCAGTTTAAAGAACTACGAAATTAATGGAGCTTTTGATCTGGAAAATTCGAAACCCTGGACAGAGGTGCAGAACCAGAGGGCAACTAAATTTACTTGGCGAAGCAGTGTTGTTGATATAGCAGCGGGTATAACAGCAAGTTGTACTCAGATGTGGCATTCTGTTACAGCTTGAACGTCTTCTTCAACAACTTCTGTAGCGTGTCTTATGCTGTACACATACACTCCAACAGATTTCTCAGTAATCACTCACAGAATGAGTAAAGTAACAATTCTTGTAGCAAGCCTAGGGGTCTGGGATGGTAAGATTTTTCGTATTTTCAGGTCAATTAAGACTTTCGTGTTCTGAGAAGTTCTGAAATCCTTCTACAAAATCCTAACAAGAATGAACATTACAATTCTATTTCAATCAGTCTCCCTTATTTGAACATTGTCCCCACCAGGGGGGACAGCTGGTAGGGACTAGTGGAATAGGCCAATTCAAATCAGCGAGCCGAAAATCTGATTGGTCAGGAACGAAACACTGCCTTTGCCAAAGATCGCATACCAGAAAGAAGAGTATTTTGAGGAAATGAAACTGTTTTTCCGGATTTAAATCGCGTATATTTGTTTTTTCAAACAAACCGACGTTTCGGGCCCTTTACAGGTCCCATGGTCACCCGTGTCAACCGTGAAAACAGTTTCATTTCCTATGTGTAACAATCGCAAAAACCTAAGAACTCGAAGAGTATTTTAACTTTTATTTTTATTGTAGCGATTCGAGAATGTTTACCGAGGCGAGTGGACGACTTTCGCGCCATTTCGCGGAAGCGTGTAACGTCCCTATCCCTAATGCGCAGGGTGCCGCGCAGCTTCAATGATCTTCTTCGAACAGTGGCGAAGAGGAACGATGAGCCCATATTGTATCAATGGGTAGGGGTACATGTCAATGTGTAGATGGCTTACATAGTGTGTAAGGATTTGTTAGTAATCTGGATATTTTTTCTGAAATAAGAATTAGAATTTAGTCTATCGAAGTATTAATTATGGCAGAACAACAGTTTTGTCAAATGTCAATAAGCATTGACCGAGAAAAACTTGATTTGGCGACGTTCGCTATAATTTTTATCAACAATAAAACGATATACTACAGTACATTGAAGTCTTTGATTTTTATATTTTATATTAGTAAGGATAAAGTATAAAAATTTTTGTAATTTTCTTTGGAACGTTAATAAAGGAAATTAAAATTATAAGAAGTCCATGTTCTGACCCATATTTTTTTACAACTACAAACGTGCACAAAATTCTCCAAAATATATTACCGAAAGTGAACCAGAATTTATTTTTGTTCAATCCACAGAAAATATAAGAAGTATAATCTAGCTAATGTTTCGTGAATGATTTTTCTGTAATAAGGTCATTGGAATGTTCTAACAAATTTTTTTATGAAATACATTGAACATTATCGTCTTAATCATAACGAGTTCTTAGTTTTTCGTGATTGCTACACATTGAAAATGAAACTATTTTGACAAAAGACAACAGATAAAGTTATTTTTCGGATCTAAATAGCGTATTTGTTTTTTCAAACGAGTCAGTCGTGACGTCACAAATGTATGCAATTCAAATCCGAAAAAAGAAAGAAAAAAAATTCCAACGCGTTTCCCTTTGTCTCACTTTTATTCATAATAAACAGTCCAAAAATAATAATAATACAATATCTCCCAGAAATAATTTACAATTTTAGAAAACAACAACCGTTGTTTGAAAAAATACTTTTGTAAATCATCAACAACTTATTAATTTTTACAGTTAGACGGATTTCGCAGCATGTTTATTCGCTGCAACTTTTGACCATGACTCTATGAGGTTCAAGTCGATCCACTGCTACTTGACCTTTACATATTATGTGATTATAGTTATTTCCATAATCGGTATATCTGTTGTCAAAATCTGCCATAAAACTTGGTGACGTAAGCTGTAACCTATTAACAATGCATGAAAGAGTGTCAGAATTTCGACGTTGCGTACTAGAATGAACACACATTAATCTACTCCGTGATGTTTCCGAATAAGTACAACTTATTAATATGTACTCCACCCTAATCTACTAAATAAATCCATCAATAGGTTTGTTTTCATTTAATGTAACAAAACAACACTGTATACGTAGAAAGAGAACGATTTAAAAATAAATTCAAGTGGTGACAGTTGAATACTTTCTCCCTCACAATTTCTTTTATTACCTTTAATATTAATTGTATCTGTACTAAGATATCAAAGTGTTTGCCAAGTGCTGCGATTGTGGCAATACTCGACTTAGAGGCGTAAATCCTTAAGTAGACTTTTTCAAGTTGACATGGAACGTTTCTAATCTAGATTTAGACAACTGTTTTACGTATAGTTAATTTTATTTATGATACCAAGTGACGGGACTAATAAGTCGTGCGCCTGGTTGTAAGCGACATGCCCGTGCATAACAGCTGCAGCCTCACGCAGAGCTTTAAATCACAATGATCAGATGGGCACTGCTGCTTCGCCCGTCACCCTGAGACGTAAGTTGATAAGTCCCATGTGCCTGAAATTTCACTAGCTCACTAGCCCTTCAAAACCTCGAAATAAGGTAGAAGTAGATAATGTGGCACTTCTTCCCCGGATAAACTCTTTCACAAGGGGCTCTACTGCTACAAAAGATTACAAAAAGTTGGTCATAGTGAAGTGAAAATCACGAGTGTCTAGACTACTTCTGTTTTCTAAGCTACAGTTGGGTTTGTAACATTATTTTGTAATGATATAACGGCTATAAATTTTATTACAAATGGCAACGAATGACATTTTTTGCAATAAAGAATGGAATTTAAAATCAGCCACTATCAATTTCGAAATCATTAGGACATTTAACAGTCAGCATTTGACAAGCAACGAACATAATTAAATAAGAAATTCAAATAAATTAAATATTTTTTATCTTATAAAGGATGCTCTTAATGATATTTATAACAGTTTGTCGTTTCACTTATTGTTAAGCTTATTTATTTATTTATTCCTATCTATTTATTTATTACGGACACTATACAGTTACATATAACAGTTATATATAACAGTTACTATAATTTCATGTAACATTTATTCTATTTGCGTGCAATAAGAAAGCATAAACAGTATTTTTTTTTAAATTAACAAAAGCAATTTAAGATACAAAAAAAGAAATATCTAAGGAACTTGTTACGTCTTCTCTACCCGTTTGTTTTATTTTATTTTGTTTATATATAAGGCTGTACTCTGTGCTATATATAAGGATGTGTGTTTTTGAATAAAGATTTATTATTATTATAGTTTTCTCTTGACATTATACTAATTTCTTATCCAAGTAGACTAGCAACGACTGCCGGAGGTGGAACACCGCCAAGGCCTTGGGGGGGTTTGTCTATATGTATTTGAGGCTGAAAGCCCTGGTCATCGGCGACATAAGTGACCTTGTATTCATTGCCGTCAGGTCCCAACCAGGAATACTCTCCTCTTACTGCCAGGGCTTCATTTTCTCGACCTTGGTTCTTTAGTTCACCTCGCTGCTCGTGTCTCGTGCCATCTGATTGTTCGAAACTAGAAAACGCGAAAAGTATATAGATTAGTTACATGGCATTACATATTATACTCGAAAATTTATTTTGGAAGTCTATTTTGACTGTAATTTTGGTGTGATGATAATTTGTAATTTTTTCTTATGATACCAGTGACGGGGCGAACAATTCGAGCGCCTGGTGGTAAGCGACACACGTGTCCATAATAGTTGCACTGTCACCCAGAGACACAAGTTTTTTAAGGCACACACTCATAGCCCCGCACTAGAGAATCCCTGTATCGCGGGTGCTATGGACACAGACAGACAACGACAAATTACACCCAAACTCCGAGAGAAATAAATGTAGACCATAAAAATATTTCTCCCGGCCCGGGACACGAACCCGGGACCTCTGCATGGGAGTCCAGCATGGTAACCGTTCGGCCACCGATGTAGTTAAAGTTGACAAGTCTCATGCAGGCAGCACCAGCCAGCACCCTTACCCTTCAAAACCGGAACGCAGTAACGCTCACCTTACTGCTTGGCGGCAGAAATAGGTAAGTAGTAGTACTTTCCTGGACGCACGCCCCACAAGGAACTGCTACTAAAATGCTTTATTTAAATCGGCCAGTGTTTCATTGCGGACTCCCTATTGTCAACGATGGGGAGTAATTTATGGTAAACAAGTATGACATTTTTACAAATGTTTGGATAAGTTTTCTGTGTCATATTCTTGTGAATATATAGTAGAGTTCTTTGAACCTTGGTATAAATGTAGTTGAGTACTGTTAAACAATAAACACTTTAGTAAATGATTTGGTACTCACGCCCATCTGTAGTTACCCAGGCCGTTGTTATCGTTGTCGAATCGGAGAATCTGCACATCCCGTTGCTGCGGTGCGGCGCACGCCATTGTTACTAGACACAATGTCACAAACTGAAAAATCATTTCACTATAGTACTACTGCTAAAACTGATTTACAAAACAAAAAGTGGATATTTTTAATTCACTTCTTTTCGATTTTCAAAACAATCGACGAAACAGTTGATTCAATTCAAGATTACATGGAAATTGTTATAACACAACATTTTTATTTAATCTTTTTGACAACACGTCCTTTTACGAAGGAAATAATCAACTCTGCATATAATTTTTCCGTTTTTATATGGTCATCCATCCATGGAATTATAATATATTTTGGCGCAGAACACAAAATAGTCGTACGGTGTTTTGTGCACGATTCGGAATCTTTCAAGCTTTATATACAATCAAGTTAAACACGTTTTGGAAGGCATTTATATTTTTTGTGATAAGTAAAACCTAGCATTATTTAACCTTGCATTATTGTGTGCCTTTGATTTCAATACCGTGGAACTTACGGTATGAATTTCCATTTCCAGATTTACGGGAATCTGTTGTTAGCAGTCCGTAGCCAACGTAAATTA